CACACACACACACACACACACACTCACTCATGACCAGATACTGACCAGCGAAAGTTGGAGCTCTGAGCTGTCCTGTGTTGCAGGTGGAAGACCGGCTCTGGCCGATGCTGAAGGCCCAAGCTATGGTGCTCCAACACTGCTGTGACAGTCCTGTTGAAGACCCCTCTCCTTTACTACTCTACCCCTCCTACACGTCTAGCGCTAATCCTCGATGCTTCTCCTCTACTATTGCTAGCGTAGCACCATGCCAAAGTGTGACCTCGACACTGCATCTCCAGACTGAGCGTGGTCCAGCTAGATGCGCTGGGCCTATTGGATACTGGACTCAGTCCGTATCCTGGTCTGTTCAGTCATACGTCTGATTGATGGTGCATGGCGCAGGCTGAAGTCCTGGTCCTGGGGTGCGGGCCTCAGAAAGAAAAACGGCCTGCTTGGGTGCCTACTGGATGTCCAGGTCCCTCTGCTGATGTCCTCAGAATGACTAGGGCTGGGCCAGGCACTAAAGGACAAACGGTCACAAACCTGACCCAGTCCCATGACGGACTCAGCTGGGGGGCCTGAGCAACGACCGCTGGGCCTGAAATTGGCCCAGCCAGTCCCATGTTCCAAACAGACCAAAAGTGCCTTTTTTCCCAAGGCACACGTCCAAACGACACATGCCAGACAGGACAAAACCCAGAAGGCTGGAAGGGGCAAAATACTCCAAAATGCATTAAATCTCAGGAAATTGAGGAAAATAAATAAAACACGCAAAGACATTCCCACGCCCAAATCCACATACCTGGGCCTCCATGGGGCCTAACAGATGGCTGTGGCCCTGGAGCCGCACAGACAATGTAGTGCTTGCGGTCCAGGGGGCACAATGCCCTACTGACGGGCCTTGCAGGCCCGTGCGATCCGTGCATGCCACACAGCTTAGGGTTAAGGGTGCACAGTTTATGGCTCCACTGTCAGAATCAAGCGGGCTTTTCCATCCCACGTCTGGTAAACATTGAGTGCGGCCTTTGTGTACAGGGGAAAGAGGCAAAAACTCAGGAACAGCACAGGAAGAGAGGAAGTAAGGAGCTCCTTGCCCAGCTGAGATGGAAAAGCCTGCTTGATTCTGACCGTGCTGTGCGCATATTGCGGTGTTTTTTTTTTTTTTTTTTTTTTT